AATTATATCTTAGAATTTAGACAAACTGAAATGGTAATTTTTCTCCAGACAGGAGACAAATATATGGAACAAGTATGTTTCTGCTAATAAACTTCAAGAGGAATGGTTACATAGATTATTATATTGGAAATACTGAATGACATAATAGTTTTTAATTTTTTAAAATAATTCAGTCTTTTTTTTGGGGGGGGGTCATGGGGCTTTAACTCTGGGCCTGGGTGCTGTCCCAGAGCTCTTCAACTTAAGGTACCACTTGAGTCACAGTGCCATTTCTGGTTTTCTGGTGGTTAATTGGAGATAAGAGTCTCAAGGTTTTCCTGAGTACATTTCCTACCCAACATTGTTACCCTTTCCTTTGTTTTTCCCCTATCATCAGTTCCCTCCCCACCTCCCCAACTCCGCCCCCCACCCCCAAGTTCAACATAGTGTCTTGTACATCTCTTTGTTACAATGGGTCAACCTGTATCCTTGTTTCAACATTTTGTTATTTCCTTTCCCCTCCCCAAATTAGAAAAACATATAATACAAGATGTAGGGCACTAGAATCAAACCCAGTGACAACAGGGGTTATATCATGGGGGAAGAACATAAAAAAGAAACAAAAAGTCACATAGTACTTTATAAGAACATTAAAAACAACAGCAAGAAAAATAAAACCTTTTGTGTCCCTATCTTGGGGTTTGTTTCATTTAGCGTCATCTTGCATGGTCATATGTACATAGCTTTTGACCTTTTCTACTTGTCCTAGATGTATACTAGTTATTGCAAATAAGGGAAACCATGGGACCTATGGTTCTTTGAGCCTGGCTTACTTCACTTAATATAGTTTTTTCCAAGTCTTTCCATTTCCTAACAAATGGAGACATAGAATTCCATTGTATATATAAACCACATTTTGTTGATCCATTCATTTACTGAGGGGCATCTGGGCATCTTAGCTAATTGAATAATGCTGCAATAAACATAGTTGTGCTGGTAGCTTTAGTATGGCCTTGTTTGTGATTATTTGGGTAAATGCCCCAAAGTGGGATTTCTGGGTCATAGGGAAGCTCTATGTGTAGTCTTTTGAGAAACGTCCATATTGCTTTCCAAAGTGGTTAAACAAGCTTGATCCTTATATGTCACCCTGCACCAGAATCAACTCCAAATGGATCAAAAACCTTGAAGTCAAAGCAGACACCTGAAAACATTACAGGAATAGGAGAAGCTCTAGGGCTCCTTGGCACAGGATGAAATTTTCTTAATAAAGACTCGGAAACACAACAAATCAAAGAAAGGTTGGACAAATGGGATTGCATGAAACTGCAGAGCTTCTGCATGGCAAAGGACATAGCTAGCAAGATCAATAGAAAGCCCATGGATTGGGAGAAGATCTTCACTAGCCATATAACGGACAAGGGCCTTATATCTAAAATATACGTAGAACTCACAAAATTAAAATCCCCCAACAACAAATCCTCAAAGAGTCAACTGCCTCCTTAATAAGTGGGCTAAAACTTAAAGAGAGACTTCTCTGAAGAGCAAATAAGAATGGCCAATAGACACATGAAGAAATGCTCCACTTCTCTAGCCATAAAAGAAATGCAAATCGAAACAACATTGAGATTCCACCTCACCCTAGTTAGAATGGCTATAATCAAGAACTATAATAACAACAGATTTTGGAAGGGATTTGGCCAAAAGGGATCCCTACTGCATTGTTGGTGGAAGTGTAAAGTTGTTCAACCACTTTGGAGTGCATATTGTTTTTCTGTGTGTAGGATATCTGAGCACCTTCTATAGTACTGGTTTAGTTAGAATGGCCATTATCTAGAAAAAAAAAACAATAATAGATGCTGGTGAGAATATGGCCAAATGGGATAGAACTGTGAACTTGTTCAACCATGGTGAAAAGCAGTGTGGAGGTTCCTCAAAAAGTTAAACATAGAACTATCCAATGATATGGCAATTCCATTCCTGAGTATTTACCCAAAAGATTACAAACCAGGATACAGTAATGCCACCAGCACAACCATGTTTATTTCAGCACTGTTCACCAGAGCTATGGTATGGAATCAGCCCAGTTGTCCTCAATGTATCAAGAAAAGGTGATGTATATATGCAACAGAATTTTACTCATCCATTAGAAAGGATGATACTATACCATTTGTAAGGAAATGAAAGTACTTGGAAAAAATTACGCTAAGTGAAATAATTCAGACCCAGATAGACAAAGATCCATGTTTCCCCTTATATATGGAAGCTAGATTTAGCTTACAAACTCGTAAATAAATACATTGGGTGGTATGCAAGTGTATACAAATGTATCAGATGAAATATAGTAGATTCAAGGGTGATTTCCAACAGGGTAATTGCTTAGAAAGCCAATATCAATGTTCAGCAAAATAAAACACCTGGAAGTGGGTACTCAAAAAGATGGGCTAAGGATAGCGGTAAAGAGGAAGATGAATAAAGAGGAAAGAGGGGTACAATGCAGAAAAGAAAACAGTATATATCCTACAAAATTAAGAAGAGTTAGGGAAGGGCAGGATGGAGGTAACTGGGTGGATGATAAAAGGGGTGACATTGATATAGATGTATTATAGTCATAAATTGCTTTGCTAAATGGAAACTCCTTTGTACAACTACTTAAAGATAGTAATAAAAAGTTAAAGCAATAAAAATACTCCCTCCTAAAGGAGAAGTTATTTAGTACTCTTACTATAATTCATTGAGAGGCAGCATACAGGAACTTAGAGTGCCTGTCTTTACACACTTATTACAAATTTGAAAGAATGTTTCCTGGGATTATATGATCATTTAAAAGGTGACTTTTTAGTAATCAGTGTCCCTACAAACACATTCCTGCAATATAGTAAAAAAAAAAACTTCATGAAAATTTAATTGTAGTTTTTAATTTTTTTACTTTTAAGTTTAAGCTGGTTTTTAAAAAATTCCTTTTGGTTGTCTGTTATTTTTCTTGTTTTTTTTTTCTTTACTTTTTGTTACTGTGAAGTAGTTGTACAAAGGAGTTGCCATTTAAGAAAGCAATTTATGAACACAATATGTCTTGATAAATTTCATGGCTTTCAATGTTAGATTTTACTTTTAATGCCTCTATATTTTTGAAATTTTTACTGTTTTATATTTCATAAATATTGTTTTTCTAAAACAAGCCTTTGTTGTTTATTTAAAAGAAATTAATATTAATTTCTCAGTACTGAGTCCATTTTTGAGTTCAGTATTGTAGTAATTATGAAAATAAATAGAAATTTAATACAAAAAGATATAAAGTACTTATAAATGTGCATATTGAAGATAAAAGAGTTTACGATGAAAAGACACAAAACTTGAGAGAAACAGATTTACATGTATATTCAAATGATTTCTCAATGTTATACATATAATAAATTTTACCACAAATTCATTGAAAAGTAAATTATTTATATTGTAGTAATTAATTTGATTGTTTTTCATTATATGTTGGTTGTTATATAATTAGGCTTCTAAATTCTATTTATTCATGAAATCTGATTTTTACAAACTTATATTTTAATTAAACATTCTGTTTCTGTTGTAATTATCAGAGAATATGTTTGTATAACAAATGGATATAGAATTAAACTTATTGTACATTCATTTTATCTGTGTGTGTGTGTGTGTGTGTGTGTGTGTGTGTGTTTATACACATGTGGGTCTGGGCACTGTCCTTGAGTTTTGTTGCTCAAGTCTAGTGTTCTAACATTTGAAGTAAGCTCCACTTCTGGCTTTTTGGTGATTAATTGGAGATAAGAGTCTGATAGACTTTCCTGCCTAGGCTGGCTTTAAATAGAGATCCTCAGATCTGAGCCTCTTGAGTAGCTAGGCTTATAGGCATGAGCCACTGCTTGCAGGCTTATATATTCTTATAATTCAAAGCATTAATAACTGATAGAAATAAATTTTACATACAAGTTATTATATATAACAAATTTTATGTATATCTCTAAAGCAATGTGGTTTTCAAATTTTGACTGCTACATAAATTGTAAAATTAACCTTTCCTTTTATACATTGAGGAATAAAGGAAATTTGAAGAAAAAGGAATTTAGGAATAAAACTCAAATTTTAGAATGCAGAGTCATTGTAAGGAAACAATAAAAACCAGTGGTTGATCACCTTCTCAATTAGTGTTGTTGTTCTTTAGGGTTGTACCTTATAGAACCTTAGAAAAATACAAAAAGGATAGTTTTGTAAAACTGAAGTTTCTTTTTTGAATCTATGATATGAAGCTATGATAAAACAGTAGAAGCTGTTAAAATATGAAATAGCATAGTACTAAATCCAAATAGTCTCCATGCTTGTTGTTTCACATGGATAATATCATAAGACAAGTAATGACATACTAAAACCTGTATAGCAGTGGGAAAACTAAATTACATAACTTTTATAAAGTCACAAATAAACCTATTAACCATTATCTGGAATACCAATTAGTAGGAAAAACACTTGACAATTTTATTTATCCATATGAAGCATAAATATTAATTACAGACCTGATGGAATGTAGCAGTAAGCAGGTCATGTTGGATATACTGGGACCTCAAATCTGTTACATGAAAGGGATGATTACAAAATCCTGTGGGGAAATAAATAATTGTAGTTGTTAAATTTTAATTGCTTTGGAATAAGACAAATTATGTTTCCTTGTCTGAGAATATAAATAGTATAGCATTAAGGTACCAAGTTAATAGAAGTTGCAAATAAAGTTGTAAATAAAGTTTTAGAACAAAGAGATAGGATTATTTAGTTTCATAATATTCCATGTGAAGTGCCTAATAAATTCATGAAGAATTTATTATATTGTTTTGTAGATGAATTATCTTGTTCTCTTAATGGTAAAATTAATGTGAGAGATAACTTTTTAAATGAATATAGATGAATAGAAACTACATAATTGAAAAAAAATTTTCATATTGTTATCAGCAGTATTGTTTAGTCAACATAGAAAATTCTTATTTTGGTGTTCTTTCTTTTTGAAGATCCAAATTCCAGAGTTTGTGGACATATACTCATAGGTGCAGCCAAGAATTCTTTTGCAAAACTCATGGATAAAATCAGTCTAGCAATGGAAAGTATTCCTCTGTGTAGTAACAGAGGTATTACATACGTAGAAAAAGATTCCCTTGTTCAAAGGCTGGCCCGTGGACTTCATAAAGTAAATACCCTTGCCCTGAAGTATGGTTTGCGTGGCCACGTGCCCATTATGGTATGTACAACTTTCATTTAATAATGATTTTAGGATTTTTAGATTTAATTTGGTATTGGATTTAGAGTTTAAACTAGTTGTACATGAAGGTATTTAGATTTTCTTTGATATTCTTCCTTTCTCCGTCTTTCTTTCTCTCTTCCTCCCTCCCCCATCTCCTTCCTTCCTTCCTCCCTTCCTTCCTTCCTTCCTTCCTTCCTACCTTCCTTCCTTCTTTCCTCTCTCTCTCTTTCTCTCTCTCTCTCTCTCTCTCTCTCTCCCCCTCCCTCCCTTCTCCCCCTTTTGTCTCCTCTTCTCTCTCCTCTCCTCTCTTCTTTCTTCTTTCCAGGAGTCGGACTCAGATCCTGTTAGGCAAATGCCTCACTTGAGCTATGCTTCCATCTTTTTTTGTGCTAGTACTGAGACTTGAACTCAGGGCCTGAGCTCTGTCTCTGAGCTTCTTTTGCTCAAGGCTGGCACTCTACCACTTGAGCCACAGCTCCACTTCTGGCTTTTTTGGTGATAAATTGTAGATAAAAGTCTCATGAACTTTCTTGCACAGGCTGGCTTTGAACCATAACCCTCAAATCTCAGACTCCACAGTGCTTAGATTCTATCTTTGTTAAATTAGCTCTCTTTTGGATAGGATATTGTCCAGAGCCAGCATCAGATTATAGTCTTCTTAGCTGGAATTTTAGGAGCATGCCCAGCTAATGAGATAATACCTCATTATTGCTAGGGTTAGCCTCCAACCATGATCTTCTAACCTCTGTCTCTTGTGTAGCTGAGATTATAGGCAAAACCCACCATGCTTGGTCCTCATGTTAAATTCTATTACAATAATAGCCATTCTGAATAAATATTGGCATTAGTTCTAAGTATACTGTTTCCTAGAAGTGCACAGTGGCAGAATTATACAAGACCTAAAATTGTCAGTTCTATTTTCTAGATATCATCTAGCTAGATGATATCTTTTAGGTGTTAATTTCATATTTCATCTATTGGTCACATAAAAAAGCTTTTGTATGTTTTAGTAATAACTCTGTTTTTTTGTGCAATCTAAGTTACATTTAATTTAGTTGAATGGTCATTGCTATTGATTTTTTAGTAAATCTGCAGTTACTGCTTGAAAATTGCTCTTGTTTAACAACAGAAAAGCACAGCATCATTACAAAAGCAAATATTTGGATTTACACAAAGACTGCATGCAGCAGAAGTGGAGCGCCGCTCACTGCGCTTAGAGATTACAGAATTCAAACGAAATGTGAATGAAATGAAAAAGGAGCTTGACAAAGCTCAGGGTCTCCAAATGCAAATAAATGAATTCAAGCACTCTGTAAGTATATAAAACTTAGACAACTATGGCCGTGGTGATATCTGTTTTTTTTTTAAATTTATTATTTGATTTTAAAAATAATTCAAAGTCCTTCACATAGGATGGACTCCTTCCTCCCTAATCCCCACCCCCACTCCAAATTTCTCTTCTGAAATGTTTGCAATTGAAGAGCCAGATGGTTGGGTAGAGGTATTTCTTTTTTGCTCTCCCTATATTGAAAATTTGAGCAATACATTATTTAGTATGAAATCAAGTTTCTTTTCCAAAGATATGTTCAATTTGTCTAACCTTAATGACCAAAACATGTAAATGTTTGAAGCACAATAAAATGCACATTATTTATATATTCTATTTGAAAATGGGTTAGTACAGCTATTGCTATACCACTTGAGCTCTGCTTCTAAGCTGAGCAAGTGGGAGACCCCAGTTCAAACCTAGGTATTTGTGGGGAAAATGGAATAAATAAAAGATACAAATATATCTGTTTACAAGACCCTAGAAATAGAGGAATGTTATGAAGAAGAGTAGAGTTTGAATGCTGAGAGGAGGCTTATAGAGTAAATGTTTTGAAAATAGAGTCTAATTTTAATAGGAGAGTATGAGGTAAAGCAGGTAGTAAGAGGGAGTAAAATGATGACTATTTATAAGATCTAACAAATGTTGGGAAGGGACACAGCTTGTTGTGTGTCTTCTGATCACTTTCATTACACACACACACACACACATATATATATATATTATACCTGTTTATATATTTTGTCTTAGAAATGTTATATTCTTTAGCAATTTTAGTTCTGAAGATTAAGTGATGTAACAATGCAGTTAGCTTACAATTGATTTTTTTCCTTTCTCTTCAAGAAATTGATCACCCATGAGAAGTTTGAAAGTGCATGTGAAGAACTCAATAATGCATTGCTTCGGGAACAGCAGGCACAAATGCTGTTGAATGAACAGGCACAACAACTACAGGAGTTGAATTATAGACTTGAGTTGCACTCCAGTGAGGAAGCTGACAAAAACCAAACTCTTGGAGAAGCTGTTAAGGTAGGAGAACATTCCTTACATAATGCTTATTTCCTTTCTTTTTGTGAGTCTTATGGGAAATAATGCATATCTCTTGAATAGAGAACAGATCCCAAGGTGAAAAATTTTATTCTGTAAGAGTTTCTGAGGATGGAACAGGACTTTATCCTCTATTACAAGTGTACACTACATGTATTAAAAATTTTAAAGTTGGGTTTTTTTTTTTGTTTGGAACCAAGGAATTTTTCCGTTATTACTTTCTTTAAACCCTTATTCTTTTTTTCCGTTTTGTTTTTTTTCCAGTTTTTTTTTTTTGTTTTTTGACTTTTGGGACTTCTCTTTTTTTTTGGTTTTTGGGGGGTTTTGATTTTGGTTTTTTCCGTTTTTCCTTTAGTTGTTTGTTTTAGGTTGGGGGGGGTTTGTTTGGGAGGATTTTTTTTTTTTGCCTTTTTTTTTTCTTGTTTTTTGGAGGGGAAAGGGGGTTCTTTTTTTTTTGGGGAGTTTCTTGATTTTATTTTTGGTTTTGTTCTTTTTTTGGAATTTTTGTTTTAAGGCTTGGATTTTTTTTTTTTGTTTTTATTGTTTAGGGTTTTTTCATTGTTGAGTTTTTTTGCCTTGGATTTGACTTAATTCCAGGAAATTAAAGAAGTATAATACAGCCTCTATAATGCAGCCTCATTTAATATAACTAACCCATTGTTGGTATATAATGATAAGGCAATTATTGTATATTTACTCTAGCATCTCAATACTAATATTGTTGTTATTAAGTTGGCAAAATTTTTTTGGGACTTTCTTTTTGCCCCCTTTTTGTTAATTTTTTCTTAACCATTTTTCCCTTATTTTCCTTAGGTTTTTGGGTTTTTTATTTTCTTTTTGGTTGAAAAAGTTGGGTTTTGGGGAGTTTCCTTACTTTGCCCGGCCTTAATTGTTGGTTTGGGGGGTTTGGTTTTCTTTTTTCCTTTCTTCCCTCCCCTTTCTTTGGCTTGCCTTGGTTCTTTTGCCGGCCCTTTCCCCTTTTTTTTTTTTGCTTTTTTTTTTTCCTTTTTTAATTTTTTTTCTTTGTTGGTGGTGTGTGTTTTGTGTTTTTTTCTTTTTTGTGTTTTTTTTTTTTTTTTTTTTTTTGTTTTTGTTGGTTTTTTGCATTGTCTTTTGTGGTGATGGTCGGTTTTGTTTTTATTTTTTTTGTTTGTTGTTTGTGTGTGTGTGTGTGTGTGTGTTTGTTTGTTTGTGTGTCTTTGTGTTTGTGTGTGTGTGTGTGTGTGTTTTGTGTGGTTGGGCTTACAGGCATGAGCTACCAGTGCCTGGCCTTCATGGTTTTTGAGAAAATTAAGAGAATTTGCTTGGCTTGCTGAGGGTCTCCTGGCCCATAATGTTCACAGAATACTATTAACATTTACAGTAAAAATTTTCACATCGAAGCATGCAATTAAACCATTTGAAATAGCTGTTTTTTAGTGAAAGTGATTTATGCCAGTAGTTTTAAATTTTAACGTAATATATGTAATTTTCTTACAAAACACATAGTTTTGTTTGTATCACATAATAGTAGATTATGAAGGGGCTGGGAAGGTGGCTCAGTGGTAGAGTGCTTGCCCTGAATGCATGAGGCCCTGGGTTCGATTCCTCAGCACCACATAAGCAAAAAAGAAAAAGCTGGAAGTGATGCTGTGGCTCAAGTGGTAGAGTGCTAGCCTGAGCTGAAGAGCTGAGGGACAGGGCCCAGGTCCAGAGTTCAGGCCCCATGACCAGACCCTCCCCCCAAAAAGTAGATTATGAATATTTATGTTTACCAACCTATAAGAGTTTATGTTTATCTTTCTTTTTCTTTACTTTTTATAAATATATATATGTATATATATATATAAGTATTCAGTTTGGAAAAAATAAAAAGTAAAATAATCTCGTTATATTACCAGATATGTATATTGTTAAAACAATGTATATTATTCTAGATTTTGTATTTTCAGAGAGAAAGCAATAGAGGGAATGAATCTGATCAATGTGCAATATATACATTTGTGAAATACCACAATGGGACCTCTTTTCTACAAATAATGTACATGAATAAAAAAATTAATGATCAAATTTCACCTCCCAAACAGGAATATAACCCAGTATATATTTATGAAAACATAATGATATTGTCATATATATTGTTATTTTAGAATGCCAAGAATTTATTTCTTTGTGAGTTAATGTTATCTTTAAAATGTATAATTAAATTTCTTAATGTACATAATAATCTCCCTTTTTCTTTTTAATTGATAAAAGTTCTATACATTTATGGGTTATAGCATAATATTTTGATATATGTATATATGTGGAATTATTAAGTCAGGCCAACTGATATCTCTATCACCTCATGTACTTACCATTGCTTTGTGGTGACAGTGTCTATATATAATCTTTTAGCACTTTGGAAATATACAGTACAATTACCAGAATTTATTTCTACTGGCTAAACACAACATTTTTCCCATCCCCTCAGAATCTGAAAACCTCTACAATATGCATTAATTTATGACTCTAATTTATTATATAGCTATAGATCCATTTCAGATTTCTTCCCTTATTTGCTCTTAGCTTAAGATGCACACTTCTATAGTAGAACTTTGTACAGCTAAGATTATTTTGTCATGATCAACTCTTTGATGAAGAATTATTAGATTAAAAGCCCCAAACAGTTTAAAATTTATATTTTAATTGTTTACAATAAGTTTCTAATCAATTACATTATCTCCTTAAAGGGGTGTATAAAATTGCATTTTTACTTTACCTGTTATTTTAATTTTTTGCCAATTTGTTGTACATACCTTTGTTACTTTAGTTTGTATTGTTATTAGTCTAATTGGAATAAACGTTCTTTTTTAAAAAAGTGATTAAGTAGTTGTACAAAGGGAAGTTGAATATTCTTAGAAGTATATTGGTCATTAAACAACATTTTAATGCTTGATGCCTTATTAAATATAATACAATTAACTATGGTTTGAAAAAGCACCTGTTGTATTGGTATCTTTTTTTCTAGAACAGTTTGTAGTTTATGTTTAGATATTGTATCTTCCAGGAGATAAAGAGCTGTTTATATTAACATTTCTTTAAAGTGCTAGAAGTTTTAATATTGTTGTCAGTAGTGGAGAATTGTTTAATTACTCTCTCTTAATTAGAACTAGCAGGTGGTAAGTGAAAATGCTCTCTGGTGGGAGGCAGCATGGTTCAATGGAAAAAGCACTGTTCTTGGAACAGTATTCTCTGATTCAAATCCCAGCTCTGTCACTTGAGCTAATTATTTAACCTTTCTGAGCCTTAGTCTTTTCTTCTGCAAAAACGGAGATAATGATATTTAAATTACAGGATTTTTAGGAAGTTGAATTAAGATAGCATTTGAAAAATAGTTGTATGCTTGATATTCTTTTGTGGTTTTGTTAAGATTTAAATATTTAAAAATATTTTTCAGTTTTTAAAAACCTATTCTGCATGTAACTTTCTTTAGAAATACAGCATATTGTTTCTTCTTTATAAAGTGAAATGAGATCAAGAATATAAGACATGGAATATATATATAAGAGAAAAGAAATTACCTATTAGTTATTATAAGAAAACCATTACATGTTTTGGATTTTACTTTCAGACATTTAAAAAAAAGTAACAGTTTTTGAAAAGCAGACTGAACTAGATGTTCAGAATGGCCTCCTTTAGAAGATGTCTAGATTTCATAAGACTTTTCCTGTGGTAACAGTAATGCATTAATTAAGAAGTAAATTATTCAAATACAAAAATATAAGTAACAATACCTATAAACTAGTGTGTAGAAATCAAACTTAGCACCCTAAATAGGCCTATAGGCAAATACCAATATTAGTTTTGGGGGTGGAAGACAAAACTTTGGGCTCCACTAATAGATAGGAACTTGAGCATAGAATTTTCCACTAAGGAATTGCCTAATAATGTGAAAGAGATAATCACAAGCCAGTAATGTCCACTTGTTCTAAGAAGTAGCTAATTCACAAATTTCTTTATACCATCGCTTGCCTAGTTTTGTTCCTTCAAGTACCCCCACAGAGTAAGATCAACCAAGTAACTTATATATGCGAAGGTAGATATATTAATCTCACATAGAGTCACATTACTAAACTCTATTGTCATTCTTGATAGAATTTTCTGTATAGACAACATTTTTTGGTCTATAGTTACAATTTGGGTTTTCTTTCCCAAACCTTATACATTTAATTCATTTCCCCTACCTTATTGCAGTATAAAACAGTGTGGAACAGAAATAGAAACTTTAGGTATTCTCTTATTCTGTCTCTCTCCCCTCCCCTCTCCTCTCCTACTCTCTCCTTTCTTCCCCTTCCCTTTCCTCCCCCTTTCCTGTTTCCTCCCTTCCCTTCCCCCTCTTTCTCATTATATAGATCAAGGTTGTTTTGAACTCATGATCTTCCTCTGTGTAACTCCTTATATTTGGAACTATAAGTGTGTACTACCAGCTTAAATCCACAGTCTTAACTCTTGACTGGGATGGTTTTCTAATTTATCTCTACTGTCATTGCCATTTTTCATTACAAGGTTTTACTAACACAAAAGAACTCCTTCCACATGGAGTAGTATCTTGGTCTTTTCCTCTGTCCCCCCTCTACTGTAGCAGAATACCACAGACTGCAATTCATAAACCACAGGATTTTATTTCTTACAGTTCTGAAGGTCAGGAAGTCTAAATATCATGGTGCTGGTGAAGCCTTCTTGCTGCATCCTCTTATGGCAGAGACAAAGGGCAAGGAAACACCTGCACATAATAGAAGGAACAGAACTTATGAGGAGTCTACTTCCACAGTAACTAACCAACTCTCACAAGGATGGAATTAATCCATTCACAAAAGCAGAGCCTTTACAAACTAATCATGTCTAGAGAGTTCCAGCTTTCATCCCTGTTGATTTTGGGATTGAATTTCCAACATGTGAAAGATACATTCAAATCATAGCAAGTGAAAGCAAATAAAATAAACAACAAATGTTGGGGTATG